AAAAATATAGCAATCTATATATACATGCCCAATGAAAAGAGGTGCTCTGTGAAGTTAATATTTGACCAAAAAACAGGTAAGAGCAGCAATACAAAAGCTGCACTTTCAGTCTCTTCCAGGACTGTGAAGTTGTCTCACCATGAAGCAGCTCAGATCTCAAACTCAGCTTCCCCACTTGGAAAATACTTTAAACTCCTTTGTGGCCATAGGAATTCTCTGTCATGCACCATCTTAACCAAGATTTTGTATCAGTGCCATCAGAAAAGCAGGTTTGTTCTCTCATACTGTACAGATGTAGAGCTGAGCCCTCTCTCAGGTGCAGGAAAAAATCTTACACATTTCAATAATGTGTGCTTTAAAAAAAAAGTAAATGCCAGTGGGAAAAGTGAGGTGAAAGCTAAAAGCCCTTTTTTTTTTTTTTTTAAATCAGAAGAAATCAACACTGTTTTAAAAAGTAAATCTCATCAGTGCAAAAATCTCATCAGTGCTAAAAGCTTCAAAAATATCCTTCTTATAACTCCTCCTAAAACAGGCAAATTCTTCTGCTAGCAACTAGTGAATGATCCAAAAATGCCACGGGGTGAAGACTCGGGCTACATCCCAGGCACACCTGAAAATGGTAACAAGCTGTGACTGTGACTCAAGGCTCTCATTCCTCTTGACAAACTCCTCTCTGAGGTAAGCAGTGCAGAAACCTGGTTTGGAAAGCCTGGACCACTTCTGTAGCCACCCAGCCTCCAAGGAAAGGACGTCAAGGACTTTTCATTGCCACCTCAAGCTCAGTTTTGTGGCTTCCAGGTAGTCAACAAATGCCTCATGCAGCCTGCATGGCCACTTTGCTATTCCTGAGATCACAATAAGGCAGGGTCAGGTTGTGTGAAAATGAAAGACTTTTTTTTCTTTTTTTTTCTTCTTCTAACACACCTCTCAGAGAGCAATGTCCAGGTTACAGGGAGATTCTCATTTCCAGTCACTTTGTGGAGGATGTTGGGAGACCAAAGAGCTACACCAGTCAAAAGGAAGGAGACTGGTTTTTAGTTAGCACTGGAGACAGTGCTCTAACTGGATGTTTAATTTGATTTGCCTAAATTAAAAACTCATTACCTTCAGTGCCTAATGTTGGAGAACCCCCTCGTCCCACATACTCTGGCTAAGGAGGCAGATAAATGCCTTGGAAGCCTGGATTATTAAACCAAAGGTCAGAGAGAAAACAAATCAGTCGATTTTTCCTGCATCACTGGAGAAAGCCTCAGCTTTGCCTCCTGGCTTTAGCTCCTCATCCCAGCTCCGTGCACCTTTGCTCCCACTCCCTTCCCAATTAATCCAGGGTCAGCTGCATTCAGCCAAGAGCTTTGTATGGGCATTTACATTTCACTTGCCAGCACACCCAGCTCCAAGCATGCAGCACACAAATATTTGTGCTGGGAAGAGCTTTGACCAGGATGATTCACTTTGGGTCTGATAGAAACCCTGCTCACAGCAGCAGCCAAGTCTGTCTCGCTGTCTAGAGCTGGCACTCCGTGTGGGATGAACTCTCCCAAATTTACTTGCCACAGATACAATCCTTATTCTGAAAGACTCAGCTCTCAAAAGCAGAGAAACCATTTCAGAAAAGGGAATAGACCACTTTGACAGTAAGAATCCTGCCTTCATCTGATGCCTTTGTAAGTTCTATGCTTAGGAAGCAGAAAGTCTGCTTGAATTTGGCAAGGAAGCAGGCAACTTGGGTTTTTTTTTCTGTTTTATCAGGACCCTGCAGCTAGGTAAGCAAACACTTCTGCCGTTTACAGTCCAAAGTAGCTGAATGTCCTGTGTGTGGCAGAACAATTCACCATTAATCCCTATTCCCAAACCCTCTGCCTTCCCTCATCTGCCTAATTTTAGGCAGCCTCATTTTAGGCAGAGTGACAGCCACTTAACAAGAAAGTAGAAATTGTGGCAATTGTACTACTTAGATACCCAAACCCATTATCGTTTTCCTAACAGCCAGGGCTATAAACCTGCCAAATGCTCCCTCCCTGCTCCCATCTTCCCAGCTAGAGGGTGTTCAAGGAGAGACATGCATCAGCCTCTGAAGGAGAGGGGTCAAGTGGCAGAGGAGGAAGATTAAGCCATGATTTGCAGCTGGGGAAGCAGAAAGCACTGCCCCAAAGGTCTCACCTGAAGAGCTGACCCTCCTGAGCTGAGATCTATGCAGCCCTGCCAGCTCCAGTGATTCATGGCACGCTGCTTTTCGCTGCTTTTCGCTGGTGCAGCTCTCACGAGAGACAAGCAAAGTTCCTGCAGAGCACTCGAGGCTGTTTGCCCACATCTGGTGATGAGAGAGGGGGGCAGTGGAAGGACATGGCAGTGTTAGGACAGGATGACAAAACTGAAAGGGAGGATTGAGGGGAAGGGAGCTGCTGCTCCTCCTCAGCACAGCACCCTGGTACTGCTCTGTATGGAGATACAAGGAGCCAAATGGGAGAAATGGGAGACCCCTTAGACCATGGGGAGAGAGCAAGAGACTCACACTGAACTGCAAGAAAAAACTGGTGCCTGAATGTGTAATCTCCTTTATTTTTTAAAGTTTATGCTTCATAATATGATAAGCATTAGCTTGAAAAATGCTTCACTTTCTCAGTGTTACTGTTTTGATTGCCAACTCATCTGAGGTATCAGGGTGTAATACTGTTGCAGGAGGGATTGTTGTTTACAGTTCAAATAGTGTTTTATTTTGAAGAATCTAACTTTTGTGGCTGTATGACTCTGTGTTTCCTTCTAAAGGCATGCAATGCAGAATTGATGATATGAATGTAGCTCCTGAAGACAGAATGTGGGTGCAAGGATGGTTCCCAATTCTCTTTCACGGGGAGAAGGGGGTGAACCAGGAGACATCTGGAGGAATTCTGGGGCTGATGAAAGGGGTAGGGAAGCAGGCTTAAAATTTTAAAAATCTGCATTTAGCTATCTGGACAATTAACAATAATTCTGAGATCAAAAAATAATTAGTGCAATTAATGCCTTATGCATCTATTTATGTAACTGCTCAGGAAAGAGGAAAATTATCTACCCATATTTCTGGAGTGCTCTGAAGAGTCGAGGAATTGATTCTTTAATTTAAAAAAAATAATTTAGGAGAGCAAACACAATATCTGCATGATGCAGAGTCTCTTCTGGGTTAAGAATCTCCAGCAGTTATTAAGGTGCTTTATGCTGCAAATAATTTTGTACATGTAAACATCTTTCCTGATTACATCAATCTCCACAGGCTGACTTTTTACTCTTACATCCTCTCCAATCTCCTAAATTTATTTTCAAATCTTCTGACTATTACTATTACTATTTTTAATCCTTTGGTTTGCAAAACAGAGTATATGTGAATTAGGGCAGATCTGATGCCCTGATGAAAGCAATGGATTGGAGAGAAAAGCAGAGACATTGCAAACAGGTGTGAGAGTTTATATTAAATAGAAAAGGTCAGTCAAATCCATAGGCAAATAAAGAAATAAACACAAATTTTCTTCTTTTTTCACAGCCAAATCTCATCAGGGACAGCAGTCAGACACAAGAAATCAGAAACATATCCTAAATAGTTGATTTTTGCCTATAAGCTACTTGAAGAGAGGCACCTTTAATAAATTGTGCTACATTTGGAGAAGTCATTGGAATTCTGTAATTAGCACACGTACAGTGAGAGCTAACTGTGTGTGTTTGTGTGTACACAGCTCTGGAAGAGGGAGTTTAATGAACTGTGTCTCCTGAAACTGCAAACCAAGTTTCATTTTGTCAGTGCTGTGCCACGCAATGCTGTGATGTGGCTTCCAACACACTTTTCCTCCTATCAAATATCCACTCCCTTTTTTTTTTTCCTGTTGTTTTTGGGTTTGTTTGTTTGGTTGGTTTGGTTTTGTTTTGTTTTGTTTTGTTTTTTTTATTTTATTTTTTGGTTTTTTGGTGTGTGTGTAATTTGTTGTTGTTGTGGGTTTTTTGTGTTTTTGTTGTTTTTTTGTGTTTCTGTTGTTTTTTTGCTTTGGTTTGGTTTTGTATTTTGGCCTTTTTTTTTGGTGGGGAGGTGGGGTGAGGGTGTTTCATAGAATCATGGAATGGTTTGGGTTGGAAGGGTCCTTAAAGATCACTTGGTTCCAATGCCCCTACTTCATCAACCTGGCCTTGGGCACTGCCAGGGCTGGAGCAGCCACAGCTTCCCTGGGCAACCAGGGCCTCACCATCCTCACAAGGAAGAATTTCTTCCCAATATCCAACCTGAACCTATTGTCTTTCAGTTTGAAGCCATTCCCCCATTTTCTGTCACTGCCTGCCTCTGTCACAAGTCCCTTTTCTCTTTTCTCTTGGATTCATGGACCTTGGCCAAGTAGAACTGGGGGAAGTAAAAGAAAAGGAGAAAGGAAAAGCTGCAGAAACATCTGTTTTGGTCGAACTCCAGCCAGCAGCTGACCTCTCCCAGCTGCTCATTCACTCCTCACTCGCTGGTGGGGTGAGAAGCAGGAAAGGTCTTGACTGTGCAAGAACTGCTCAGCAGTAACTAAAATATCCCTGGGTTATCAACACTGCTTTCATTATAAATCCAAAACATAGCCTCATATTGGCTACTGTGAAGGAAATTATCTCCATCCCAGCCAAAACCAGCACAGTTTTCTACTCTGGCTTCACTTAAAAAATAAATAACCACCACCTCTAACAACAACAACAAAACAACAATAGAAAAATAACAACAGCTCCAAGAGCCACAGAATGCCCTCTTTCACCATGGGCCATCTTTTGTGTTATCTCCACACCATTCTCTGCCACCTGAAACCAGCACAGCAAAGCTTTATACGATCAATACACATCCTACTACCATTAATCACCGACAGGAACAGGAAAAAAAAAAAAGAAGTAATCCTGACAAAAAGGTGTCCAACTATAATAAAAGGATGGAAGAAAGGGTGAGGAGAGATGAGGGAAAAATGAAAAGGCTGGGACAAAGAAAGATCTGCAACAACTTAAAATAAACTCACAGTCCATCCTGCAGCTCTTGAGTATCATTCGAGGTCCCCAGGGATCGAAGACTTCTTTCCAGAGAGGTCACTGTCAACATCAGAGAAAGAAAAGATAAAGAAGCAGCATAACTTTTCAGAGAAAAAAAAAAAATACTGGATCTTAGTTCAGATGTTTGTCTTTTAATTTTTTATGTTTTTTTTAATACAATCACGTATTTGAACAAGTAACCTGTGAGAGAAAGGGGATAACAACTACCAGTAGCCACTGCCACAGAATGATAAATTGTGTCCTTTGGAAGCACAAATGGTGAATCCATGTAGAACATGCCATGCCATGATGGAATATGACCCCTTGTCAGGAAAACCTCAGTTCCATGGACCTTGCACAGATCCCTGACTCTTCCAGCCTTGAGGTGACACACAACTGTGCACTGAGCATTTCCAGCTGGAAAGGTGCCCCTGGGGAAGAGGCAAGAAATTGTGTAATAATTATTTATTGCTCTGAATAATAATGAAGAGGCAGAACAATGATGCCTGTGCTGATATCCTTCATCTTCCTGTTCAAGATGCTAACACTCAAACGTTTTCTATCTTTTGGCTCAGACAAAATGGAGATTTGATCATCTCCTGTGTTTGTGCTCTACAACTCCTTGGGCTTTTCCATCAGGAGAAGAGAATACCCTAAAAGTAGTTGGAAGGTGCAAACATGGTTTGCTTTGTAATTTGCAGTTACTTCAGATTTAATGAAAAGCTATATATGTGTGTGTATATAGAAGCAGAAATCTAGGAGTACTGCTGTCTTTTTCCACCCTTGAATTTCATTGTCTCAATTCAATTTCAAATTAACAACAGGTCACTACTTTTGAACTTAGCACAGCCAGCAAGCAAAGCACTTCAAGATTTCCAACAATGAAACATGTTAAATAAATTACATTCTTGATATTTACATGTGGGATTTCTCTCAGGATGTTTCCAATTGCAAAAACCCATAACCTGTTATCAGTCACGCTTCAATATTTAAGGATAGAAAGAAGAAGAGATTAAAAACATGGCTCAATTATTTCTGCAGAAATTTAAGAAATCCTCTGTTTTAATGACTCTGCAGACTTGGATTTGGCCTGTAATTTTGAACAAGTCACTTAATTATATTTTCACTGACAGACAAAATCCTCTCTTCTCTTTTGGCTTTGCTGGCTTGACACCAAAAGTCACCAAAGGCATAAAAAGTAACTAATGTTCCTGAACTGCATGGACATTCAAAAAATCCTTGAATACCACCATATATTTCCATCAATGCTAGTTCTCAATAATAGATTTTACTGCAGAGTTTGGAGATTCAGTAAGATAAAGCCTCAAGGAATTGTCTGTAACTGAGCTAATAATTATTTTTCTTTGCTGGAAGCACAGTGTTCTAGAGAGTAAATTGGAAGTTTTCACTAATAACCATTTGCTTCTGTAGAAGGGCAGCACTGACCCTGCAGAGATCTCCTGGATACTATAATTCCCTCTTTCCCTCTCCACAATCCTAACAAATCAATTTCCCTTGGAATCCACATGCTGTCCAGTTCAAATACCAAATTTTGCATCAACTAAAAATACTTTTAGGCCCATCAACCCTTTGGAACAAAGCAGAGTGTGGTCCTTGGAGAATGGACAGCAAGCCAAGGTAAAGAAAGGACTTGTGTGGACACTGAATTTGCAAGAACAAGTTAATGTCATGTGTATAATTCCAGAACAAAAACAGCAGCTACAGCATCCATGAACCTTTCTAACCTGATCTGCAAGAATAAGAACAATTCAAAGAGAGTTTTACTGACGCCTACTTTGGAGAAGATTGGAGTGGGAAGCAGTTTTCCACTGAACAAAACAGTTCAAGACTTCACACCCATGCCATTTTACACTGAGGCAAACCCAGGAGCTGTCAGATTTGTTCAGCATTTTGGAAAACCTACAAAAAGGTGAAAATAATATGAGACATAAAAGCAAGAGGTGAGGAAAGTGTTTGTCAGTTAGATGAGAACGTGACCTGTGACTAAGTACTTATCCAATAATTTTACCTAATATTCATTTAGACAACTAAATAAATGTCAGTTGTCCCAAAATGACAAGATATGCACTCTGGAGGAGCCAAAGGCTACCATTTGATATAGCTCTTATCTGGAAAACAGCAGGACTAAGACTCCAGCATGAGCTTCCTGAATCTCAGGAAAGCCAAAAGTATCCTGGACTGCAGTGAAAGAGGAATGGCCAGAAGCTCAGTGGAGATGATTCTCCCTCTCTATTCTCCTCCCATGAGACCACACCTGGACTGCATCCAGCTCTGGGGCCCCCAACACATGAAGGATGTTGACCTGTTGGAGAAAATCCAGGTGACCATGGAGATGATCACAGGGCTGGAGCACCTCTGCTCTGAAGCCAGGCTGGGACAGCTGGGATTATGCAACCTGGAGAAGAGAAAGCTCCAGAGACAACTTAGAGCACCTTGCAGTGCCTAAAGGGGCTCCAAGAGAGATGAAGAGGGAATTAGGGTGAGGGCATGAAGTGACAGGACAAGAGGGAGAAGATTTACACTGATGGAGGACAGGCTCAGATTGGATATCAGGAAGAATTTCTTCTCTGTGAGGGTGGGAAGGCCCTGGCACAGGGTGCCCAGAGAAGCTGTGGCTGCTCCAGCCTTGGAAGTGTCCGAGGCCGGTAGGATGAAGCTTGGAGCACCCTGGTATAGTGGAAAGGGTCCCTGCCCCTGGCAGGGGGGAGGAACCAAGAAGTCTTAAAGGTCCTTTCCAACCCAAGCCATTCTATGATTCTATAATTAAATCTGAGCTTCTCTGAGCTACATTTAACTTGCTTTGACCAAGGATGAATTAATCAAAATCTCTGCAGTTCCTGTGCTGGATTTACCAGTTGTGGTCATGTGAGCAGCAATTTGACCAGAGGAGCAAAACATCAAGGGATGTCTGAAGCAATTCTTAAAACAGCAATCTTACTTTCAGAGTCTTGCTCTTTTTGTTATTGAAAGGCACACCAGAGTCCTCCAGAATGAGCCACATTCACAAGGCATCAGTGATGTTGGAGCTGCACTGATTTACTACACTGAGAGCTTGGCCCCCAGCTGCCTGTGCCATTGCAATCCTTAAACCAATGGGGGATAAAAAACCATCCTGAGATGGCACTGGAGACTCTATCACACCTGAGAGACAGGAAAAAATCCTTTGCTCAGCCTTTAAGATTGAGGTAATGGGGCTGCACATGGCACCAACCTGTAATGGGAAGTCATTAATGAGAGAGGAGCAGGAATTAGAGAAGCAAGAGACCCATTAGAGAGTTCAGGTTCTCCATTTGGCCAGCACAGGTCTGATTCTTCCAGTATATCCTCCACTGATCAGACAAGATGCACTAGAGCAACTCCATTTAGGAGTGTCATTTATTGTACTTATTTATAAGGTACTTACTAAGAGGCAGCTGAAAGCTACACATGAAAAAAAAAAATGCAGAGTCTTGATAAAAGTATAGATGAAAGAAAAAAAAGCCATAAATGAGACAAATTCAGGCAGTATTTGAGCTCCTTTTTGTGTCCTGGTAGGAAAATCAACTAAATTAAACAAAACAAAACATGAAAGTTGCAAAAGTCAAAGGTGTCCCTGCCCACGGCAGGGGGTTGGAACAAGATGACCTTTAAGGTCCCTTCTAACCCAAACCATTCCATGACTTTATGATCCTATGAACCTTCCCCATTTTCAGCAGGGACAGCCCCAAAAGATTAAGAGAAAGAAAGCAGATGCAAGATTAGGAAAAGTCTCCCTCTACTCCTTCACACTTCTATAAGAAATGGCTTTAAAAAAGTCTATAAGCTCATGACCCAGCAGGAGAGTGATCCAGTAGCACATAAACAGAACCAGCTGTCCTGGATAAGATTTTCATTCAACAAATGAGGAAGATTTCCATTTTCATGGCAGAAAAAGGGAGCAGGAAGCATTTATAGGTGAGAATAATCACAATCAACTCAGCTATTAAATCCCCCTTAGTCAAGAAGCAAGTCCTGAAGTCCCCAAGAAGAATTTAAATCACCTCAAAGGCTCAGAACTCTGTAAAAAGAATAAGGACAGCAAAGAAGGGCAAAGCACACAGCATTTATTACTTCTGCAGTGTTACTCAGTAAGATTCAATGGTGCTTTAAAATCCTGGTACAAAGTTGACTTCTTGTTTCATTAAAAATAGCCTCAAGGACATAAAAAAGTATTGCTGAGATCGGCCACAACCTGGGATTTTTAGAATCTAAACAACAAAAGCATAACATGGCCAACTCCTGACAGCTTGGAACAGCCTGGCCAGGGAAGGGGTGAAGTCACAATTCCTGGGAGTATTCAAAAATAAAACAACAAGTCACTTCCCAAGGTTTAGTGGCCTTGGTGGCATTCAGTCAAAGCTTGGACTTGGACATCTTGGAGATCTTTTCCAACCTTAACCATTCTATGACTCCATGATTCCATTCTCTTCAGCACCCCAAAAGGGACAAGGACATTTCAGGTCCACGGTTAGGTCTCCAAACAAAACAGGGACCCTGAAAAGCCCCAGAAAGAATGCAGCAAGCCAGGAAAAGGAGGGAGAGAGGAGCTGTGATCAGATTTATGCAATTTATAGATGTTCAACACACCATGGCCATGTCAAGAGGAGTAACCCCATCATCTGGTGAGCATCTGGAACACAGCTGCCTGTGCCTTGCTCAGCCACCTGCGTGGTGCTACACAAACAAACTGACTTATTTTCCATGCTCCAAGTCAGAGCTTCCTGAGTTTCCTGAAGAGACTTTGTGATACAGAAAGAGTCGTGGACATTCTTCCTCATTTTCTAACCCTAAAAAGTTCTTTACCTAAAGTGAATTAGCTCTGCCAAATCTTAGCAGTACACTCAGCAGCCTTCTCCTGGAAATCTCTAACCACTTTTTGGGAGAAAGACTATAAAAAATAAACTGAATGAAACTGATTTTGTCAGACCAAAAATAATACGAGTAGTGCACAGAGAAACAACAGGAGAGTATCTTATGGACATTTCTTAATCCTGAAAGCACTTTAAAAGGCATTATAGATTCATAGATTTTAAAAGCCAGAGAGAGCAATTTTGATTTCCAATCTGATTTCCTCCCATAAAATTTTGTCCCATCACTCCCACATCGAGACTGTGGACTGCAGCTGGACTAAAGCATATCTTATAAAAAAGACATCTGAATCTTGATTTAAAGGTTTGTGGCAAAGCCAAATCCATCAAGCCCCCTCCATAAGCAGTTCTAATGGCTGGTTATCCTCACACAGAGGATTGAATTTGTCTAGCTTTAACTCCTATCTCCTGATCTCCTTCTGTGTGAGAACGATAGATTAACGAGCCCCTTGCTGTCTATTTGATGTCTTTCCTCCTAGAGAGGTACTTACACACCATGATTGAGTCCTCTTAGATGTTTCAAACAGAAATTTGGATGGCATGAATTTTAAAGTCTGATTTTCAGACGTCAAACGGTTTTGGCTTTTTCTCTGCACCCTCTCAATTTTTGCAAAATAGTTTTAAGTGCAGGTATTGTCATTTTCTGCTTCACAGAGTACTCAATCCAAGCAACTCTTAAGAGGAAACACATCATCACCATGCTAAGAGGAGAAATAACAACAACAGAGGTTGTCAAACACGAATTGAAGGGGTTAAGGCAATTCTAACAAAGAATGGAAACAGAAATTGGGTTGTGGCATTTCGAAAGAGATGTGTCATTCACCTTTAGATATTCTCAGGATAAACTCCACTGTGGCAGGAGTTGTGATTAAAGCACAGGGGCACATCAAGTCAGCCCTAACCTGGCCATTCTGGACAAGAACAGCACACACAGACTCACGAGGAGGTTGCACAACTTCAGAATGACCCCCCGGTTTGGAAACAGAAGTGCTACTACCACTCATCAGTGGCATTGTCAAATTAAAACGATTGGTGCTGAAGCAGCCAAAATTGGTGCTAATGCAGGTATTTGTGTATGTTATGGTGTGGTTGGTCACCCACTTACAAACCAAGAACCCGTGACCACAGCTGGGAGGTGCAAGCTCACACAGTGGCCATAATCCCTTTTCTACATGGGATGTGTGTCACCAATACAAGGGCCACCAATCTCTTGTAGCTATAGAAAAATTGGTGCTTGAATTTTCCTGGCAGATGGAGCACACACAACTCATCAAAAGTAGAGACCACTACATTTTAGAAGTTTTTAATTCCCCTCCTTGTTCTAACAAGGATGCCTTGCTACAACGACCAGGGCTCCATCCCTGGGACACACTGGGGAAAAATTACACAAATTAGGAGGCACTAAAATCTTTTCCTACACCTAGGCCAGGCCTCTCTGTCTCCCAAGATACAGAAAGAACAGACACAAAAGCTGTCCAGGTAATTCCAAAGCAATTTCAATGTCTATTGTAAAATCGGCACTGATAATTTCAGATCCCTGTCCAACACTGGTGTGTTTTAGAACTGGGGTACAATGGCATTACTTTCCACTCAGCAATGTTAGTTTAAATCTGTCTGCAAGATAAATTCCTCCAGCCTAACCCAACAAAACTGATGAGCCAGAGCTTTGTTTTCAAGCAGGGAGGACTCTGCATCTCTAGGGGCTGGGGAAATAAGAGTAGCAATAGCACCCCTGCCCAACCTACAGAGTGAAGAACAGCAGAGTTTTGCTGCTGGTGTTTTTCTAAGGGAGATGGATGTTTTGCAAGCTCATGTGACAGGCTCTGAGCACAGTAGTGCTGCAACTTATTTGAAAACGAGCCTGGCTTGTTCCACCTTTCTGAGCTCTAGCTCTCTATTGTAACAGATGACACAATTAAAAATAGAAAAAGGATGTGGTCTCAGCAAGGATTGGAATATATCTGTGCCTGTTGGATGAAACATATGGTGGAATATTTTTGCATCTTATAAGGAGCTGTGTATTAGACATGTGCTGCTGCTCGTGAGATGCAGCAGCAGAAAAGCTGCATTAATATTTGTTCCCTGACAAGAGGAGCTGCCAGGGGCCGTGCCCATGCACAGGAATCATCAGCAGGACAGCACAGAACTCACCAGGAAACCTTTCATTTTACGCACCATTGGAGTTAATTCGGAAGACGTTGGCTGAAGTCTCCTGAAAAAGTTCCTGCAGTTCGCTGGGATCAATCTGAGTGGCTGTGAAGATAAAAACAGGAAAAAAAAAAAAAAAAGTGTTAATACTGGACACCACCAATCACTTTGAAAGGGGGATGGTGCTTTGAAAGGGGATGTGGATTGCTCCTTGCTGCAGAAATTTAGCCCAGGTAGGATGGTCTGATGTAGCTTTACACAGAGCCTGGTCATGGAGCTTGCACTGCACTGACAAATCCAGCACCACCAGGACAGTGAAGATGCTGCTGCAACACAGTGGGTACAGCCCACATGGATTGAGATGGCATTTGTAGGGATTATCAGCAATAATTCCACCTCATTTACAAAGTGGCACTATCAGAAACCACAATGCCAAGTGATGGTCACCCAGCACTTTCCAGAGCAGCTCCTGCCTGTGGAAAAGAGGAAGAAGCAGTGAACAGAGGGCAGCTGCTCCGTGAGGCCAAAGTTTTGGGGGCAGGAGGGAGGTGGGAGCTCACTGGGACCTCCCCACATTCCTCTCCCAGCTCCCCAGGGAGGCTCCTCTTCTTCCTACTCCTTCCTGATAGCTCAAATGCAAGGGACAATGAGTCAGTGGCAGGAATTTCTACTGCTGGTGCCAAGAAAAATTCTCCCAACTTCATTCTCAAGGTACTCAAGGTTTAGCCAAGGTACTCAAATCTGCCCGACAAGGAGAACACTGAAGTGAGGGTTTAAACATTTTGGGGTTTCGGATTTGGTGGAAGGTGGGGTGTGATTTTTGATTGTTTCATTTTTTGCTGTTGTTCTTTTTCCTCTTTTTTTTTTTTTT